TACTGAATTCTCCAAAGTTAATCAGAAGTAAATTTCAAACATGCACCTATGGTTAATAACCTGTACGTGAAAAAAGGCTCCTACCCCTTAAGAGGGAGAAAGGTGTTAGTCCTCATCCCCACTCCTGACAAACAAGGGACAGTTCTCACATTTCAGCCAGACTTGAGTAAGTGATTCTGACAGTCTCTGAATGACTCCTTGCTCTTACTGTTGTGTAGATAAAACACTGTGATGATAGGACCGACCACTGAAAGCACACGATCCATTCCAAATATACACCTATAAACATAATAAGAGCTGGTATGTACTATATCATAAAGCACAAGGTTAGTATCTTTGAAACCACGATGTCCCTGAAATATTCCAAATTCCTTACAAAGATATTTACAGGGAAATATTTTTATAGTCTTCCTCTGCATCTTTTCTTCATCCCCCCATTCCTTCCTGTGCTCTAAGACTCCATAAATACCATTTCCCCAGGACACTCCTATACACAGTCTTCTTTCCCTTCTCTCTAAAGAGCAGTTGCAAGTTTATGCCAGCCGATGATTCCTATTGTGTACTGCCAACTGTGAGATCTGGCCAGAGCTGTAGATGTCATCCATGTACACACATAAGTCATAGTAAAGTGACATCTCTAATTTAGTAATACTGCTGGAACTCTACACAGCCTCTCCTGGTCCACCCGATAAATTTCCCTTTCCATTTTCTTCCTCATCAATCATAATCATCGTAAACGATCTCCTCTCCTCACTTCATTTTCAGTCAATCTTGATCGTTTTCATTGCAAAGGGTACTGATGTCTACAACATCTATTGAAATGCATCCAAAAAGGAAGATAAATAGATGAATTGGTAGAAGAGAGAGAAGCTAGATACATATATGTGATAAAGCAAGTATAAAAATATGTTAATTGTGGAATTTAGGTGGTGGATATGTGTCGGGTCATTGCAACTCTTCAATAACTTTCCTATGTTTCTAAGAAGAAAGTCTCTAAAAATTTGTTCACAAAACATCTTCAGCGCCTGCCACTGCTTTGGCTTGGGCCCTTAGTACTTTCTGTCTCTAAGGCCACACCTGTCTCCTTGACTCTTGCCAACGTACATGTTCCTAGTGGATGCTCCCAAAGGAAGACTCCCTAAAATGTTGCTACCAGAAGTGTGTCCACAGTCCAGTAAATATCGTTTCACTTGGACAGCTGCTAGAAGTTTCATCGCATATACCAAATCAGAAGTCACAGTTTAATAGATTTCTAAAGTGATTTTCATGGAGTCAGATTTGAGAGGCAAGTCTCTGTACGGCAGCTCTATCCTATATTCCTGCTTGTTTGAAAGCCACTGATGAATCTCCATTGCTCACAGGGTTGTGTCTAAGCACAGAGCTTAGAGTGCTGTACAACTCCGCTGCTGTGTGCTCTGCTGTTTTGTGTTTATCTTTTTTGTACTATAGTTTTATTCAGATAACAATTTGATAGTTTCCCCACTAGGTCCTGAGCCTTAAAGGCAGGAAACATGTCTTATTTGAACTGTATCTTTGTTAAAATTAACCCCAAGAAGCAACGATTCTGAAGGCGCTGAATTCAATTCAAATGTTAGCTCAGAAAGATTGCAATAGTGTAAACGGATAAATATGAACAATTTGCCCACTGTGTATCCACCAGCATAACCTTCTACTTTCATTTTCACAAGCTCCCCAACACTTTAAATTAATATGCAAACTAAAGCTACTTCATTCACTGTGTACATTCTGAATTACAAATGAAAATCACTTGCATATACTTACTGGGCATCTTGTAGAATGGGTTTTACTGAGATGTAACATTGTTCTGTTCTTAGCACTTAAGGAGAGCTAAGTAAGGGCCAGCTTTCCAAAAGATACAGTAATTAGATTTCATCAGTTGTAATACACGACAGGCAAAAAGACAATGTCATATTTATCAATAAGGGCAATGAAATATCATTTATATTTTCATGAAGCAATCAACCATCAATAAAACATCATTCAAGTCTCATTTTGATTTTTGGTTGTGAGAATATTACAATGACAGAGAGAATTAAATATATATTTGTGTCTTTTTAGCAGGGCAAATAAGAGCTAAAGATAAAAGAAGAAGCTGATGATGGTGGTAATTCCTGTAACTTCACCAACTGAGAAGTCAAAGAACATGCTGAACCCTCATCTCCAAAAAATTTCAATTTAACAAAAAAGGATAAAAAATAGAATCAGAAGAAAGAATTTTTTCAATTTAAGTTCTGTTCGTCATCCATTACAAGCCATTTTCAGTCATATAGTAGAATCAGATATTCTGTATAAGTCAAGTACAGATACACTAGCATATTTAATCTGCTTCAAAATTATATTGCAAATGCTGATTACTAAATGTAAATAAAGTAAATAATGAGAAATGGAGAGTCTTCATTCTGCCAATAGCCCAGTCCTTCCTTCCACAATATTTTTTAAGTTAGTTAGATAGTAAAAAGCCTTGGACTTGTGGGGAAATAGGTCAAGGATATTCTTTTAGGTAGAGACACCAGGAAAAGCCTTTGTGAGATGATATTTGACTAGAAAACTAAGCGAGCTGGAAGAACATGTAATCTGCAGACTTGGGTGAGGAACAGCAGTCCAGGCCACAGGAAGGTTAGTACAAAGACTGGAACAAAGCCGAGCTCGGGATGCCGTGGGCCAAGAAGGCAGAACAGCCTGGAGTTCAGGGTATCAGGTCCAGTTGGTATGGGCTTCCAGTTGGAGGTCAGCATGGTCCTATTACTTGAGAGATTTTCAGGTCACAGTGACATGAGGCTCTACTCAGGATGCTCTAAGAAGCCATTAAAGAGAGCTACACAGAAGTTTGTGAAATGAGTCTTGCCTTTGATCGCTGTCCTGGTTTGAATGTGGTATTGTCCATAGGCTCATGTGTTTTGACACTTGGTCTCCGGATGTTGGCACTGTTTAGGAAGGTAGTGGAACCTTTAGGAGGTAGAGCTTTGCTGGAGGAAGGCAGAAGTCAGCAGGGATCCTGACTCTGAGGTTTTATAACCTGGCATTACTTGCCTTGCTTCCAGACTTCTGATGCAGTGTGACATGCCTCCCTGCCTCAATGGACTCTAGTCTTTCAGCTATAAGCCAAACCCTTAGAAACCCCTTTCTAAGTTGCTTTACTCTGGGGAGTCTAACCCAGCATTAGAAAAGGAACTAAAACTCACTCTGGCCTCTGTGTGGAGACAAGAGGCTCTTCAGGTCGCTGTCACAGAAACCTGTGCCACAGAGTAGCATGTCGACATATCTTCCTGTACATCAAGAGAAGTGGTAGCAGTCAAGATGTATAGTGGAGGTAAAGTGACCAGAGTCTAAGAAGACTAGTGAGGCGTAAACAAAGACTCATGTTTAGGTGGTGAAGCACATGGTGTATCGAGCTGACTAGGAGAGGCAGAGGTGGAGAAAGAAGAAATTGAGAGTTAGGGGTAAGATACCCAGTAGATCTCAAAGTGGAAGGGGTATGAAAGCAGTGCAGTGTAGATGACAATTTTCAAAGGATAGATCAGGGCTGGAAGCACAAATTTATAGGCAATCAGCAACTGAGATATTTAAGGTTATTGACTAGATGTCACCACCTAAGAAAGAATCTTTTTCTTTTTTCTTCCTGGATTGAAGATACCTACTCGGAAAGGGGTGAATTGTTAGATAAAATTTGACAAATGATACTTTTTAAATGAAAATCTGTATTTTCAATTTTGTTGCACCTTAAATGAAGAAGAAGAAGAAGAAGAAGAAGGAGAAGAAGAAGAAGAAGAAGAAGAAGAAGAAGAAGAAGAAGAAGAAGAAGAAAAAGAAGAAGAAGAAGGAGAAGAAGAAGAAGAAGAAAAAGAAGAAATATAATCGGCAAAACCTGCCCTCCTCCCCCTAGTTACTGATGTAATAAAATTTTCTGGTTCATCACATAGTCACTAAGTCAGCCACTAGATGGCAGCTGTTACCATATTCAAAAAAACCTTTTCTGAAATGATCACTCATAGGACAAGTTTTGCAGAAACAAGATTTTACTGATTCATCCTCTCTGCCCTTGCTCTTGAAGGATTTGTTTTGAGGGATGTGTTTCTCTGACAAGTTTTTTGTTTCGATTTGCTTTGTTTCATTGTTTTGGCATAAAGATGGAAGAATTGAGACTTTGTTTTATACACAAGATGGATGATTCTTAAAGCAGTCTGGAATCTTATCAATTCCATAAATGGAGTCACAAAACTATATAACAAACTGCATTTGAATGACTATGAAGCTGAAAGGGCATATTACACTGGAACACTTTCAACCAAGGCCAACTGGCTAACCTACTAATCTTGCCCCATATCTGGTCCGGAAGAAAACGACATACTGGTCACAAAACAAAGATCATCTACTTACTGCTATATTGGACTAATTATATTAAATGTAAATTTTTATTACGTTTTTATGTATTTATTTTCGGTGGGGTAGGTGGGAATAGGGCTAGTGCATGTACCATAGCCCACATGTAGAGATCAAAGGACAAATTGTGTGAGTTTTCTCATTCTGTTTGGGTCCCAGGGATCTAATTCAGGTCTAACTTGGGTCAGCAGACTTGGTAGCAGGCTCCTTCACCCACTGAGCTGTATTGCTGGTCACTTTATTGTACTTTAAATAGCAACTTTAACATATTGTTTGTTCATTTGACCAGTAAGATAACCACCTTAGTCCTTATGTGGCAGTTTAAATTCAAGAGTGCAGTAAAGGAAAAGAAACCTAAGCTAGTAAAATTATATTTCAAATACAAAAGTTCAATTTCAGAATCTGCTAGAAAATGTTATGCTAACTAGACAAATTTCTTTCATTGAGTAGCAAATTCCCTGCATTTTACCAATCATCTGTATATTGTAGCAACATAGGTTTTAAAATTTAAACCTTTTAAAAAATAAATTTCCTCAGCCAACAGAACATATAAATCTCTCTGTATCTTGTAAAGAGAGGGTTTGTCCTTTGTTAATTTTGTGTTGTTCACTAAATCAACACGTGTGCTAAATTTGGAAGGACACAGAGAAGATTCTTCCTGGCCCTGCCCAAAGATGACGTGCTAACTTGTGAAACATTCCACTTAAAAAAAAATTATGTGTATTAATGTAATTCCTGCATGTATATAAATGCGCCTGTATTGTGCAATGCCTGTGGAGGTCAGAAGAGGGCATTGGATCCCCTGGAACTGGAGTTACAGGTGGTTGTTAGCTGCCATGTGGCTGCTGGGAACTGAACCCTGGTCTTCTGCAGCCTGTACTCTTAATCGCTAAGCCATCTCTCCAGCCCCAGCATTCCATATTTTATGAACAAAATATGTATAAAAGGCTATCACGATGAAAGCCATTACTTTGTATCCCAAATTAAAATATGAATAAAACATTATTTCCCTGATACAGCTGTAGACACCTGTAATAATCCACACCAAATAACTTATTTTGAGGATGTCTGATGGAAAGAAATTAGTTAAAACAATGGGAACTGATTGACAAGAAAACATTTTGGAAATTTAAAAAAAAAAAAATCAAAGCCAGAAAGCAAACAGAATTCCCTGCTCCTCGGAGCTGCTGTACCTTTTCCCACTATATTTCTGTGTCCTGCCCCCTCTCTCTGTTCTTCCTCCCTGTTTTTTGTTTGTTTGTTTGTTTGTTTGTTTGGGTTGTTTTTTGTTTTTGAGAATTTCCTACATGAGTATTGCCTTTGCACTGTTTCCATCCCTCCGAGTCCCTACAACTTCTCCCATGTCTCCCACTCCCTCTCAATTTCTTGTTCTCTTATTGTTTTTGTTACATATACGTATATCAATTTATAAATTATATATATATATATATAAAATGCTATAATGAACTGAGTATATTTAGTGGTGCTTGTGTTTACCTGTGTTTATGTCTGCCCACTGGGATTGAATAACTTCTCAAGGAGTGATCCCTGGAGAAAATTGATTCCCCCTCCATCAGCATCTATTGATTGTCTGTAGCTCTTCATCTTGAGAAGGGGCCTTGTGACATTTCTGTCATCCACCTTGACATGACAGCTGGTTTTGTCCTTATGCAGATCTCATTCGAAAACCACACTGTGCAGGTTTCGTTGATGCAGCTCCCTTATCACGCCTAATATGCATTAACCAGCAGCAGCTTTCCTGACCCTCTGACTCTTATATTCTTTCCATAATGTTCCCTGAGTCACAGGCATAAAGGTTGCATTATAGATGTGTCACTTAAAGCTGGACATCTCACAGTCGTTTGTTCTCTGCATTTGACCATTATGTAACTTTTTACTGGTCTTCATCTGTAGCAAAAAGAAATTTCTTTAGTGAGCAGTGAGAGGTATACTTGTCTGTAAATATATGTATTTACAATACAATAAGAAATTGCATTGGTCTAGGGAAGTGACAGGAGCAAGTTTTTCTCTAGGGTCTATGATTTCTCCAGCCAGAAGTACTTGATTATGTTTACAGCACTATGCCTGATTTCCCTCCCACTGAGTGGGCCTTAAGTCAAATCAGACAGCTCTTGATTGTCACCCAAAAATATGCCACTATTGTACCAATAGAGATAGTTGCTGAGCCAGTCATCATTATGGTTGGTAGTTTATAGGTATCTTCTGATATTTTGAGTGCCAATCTTCAGGGAGGAGACTTCCAGGTCAGTTTCAGTTCAATTGCTCTAAGTTCTGTCCTGTCTTCAGCAATAGGAACTTAACTCCAAGTTCTGAAAGGCAGTCAAGGGTTATGGCAATAGCCTGTACTATTTTGGGAACCTCTTAAACTATCCTGACCAACAAATTAAAGGGAGGTTTCCCTTGCTTGGCACTGAGATTTTTGATAGCCTTCAGCTATACACATGCATTCACATTTATATTGTATGTGTATTTTTAGTAAGCTTATTAAACACTACCTTTACATTTAGTGTTTCACACTATTTACGTATTATTTAATCTCTTCTCTCTCTCTCTCTCCCTGTATAGCCCTCCCTCCTTCTCTCCAGTTAAGTATCCCTCATTCCCCCACCCTTTCCTGTTTATAGTACCTGTCTCCTCTCAAGCTGAACTGCTTCCTTCCCCTTTCCCTCCGTGTTCCTAGCTTCTGCAGTTACATCAGAATATATACTCACATCTAAGGAATTGAAGCTAGGATCTACAAGGAAGAAAGAACATGTGTCACTTAGTAAAACAGTTTCTAATTCCATCCACTTACCTGCAAATTTTATGATTTCATTTTTCTTTACTGCTAAATAGAACTCTATTGTAAATGGACCACATTTTCATTATTCATTTATCAGCTGAGAGACATTTAGGTTACTTCCATTTCCTAGCTATTGTGAAAAGAGCTTGCAACAGACTTGACTGATCAAGTATCTCTGCAGCAGGATGTTGAGTCCTTCTGCCTCCTTTTTAAGTTATTTTGATCCAAATATTTTCAATACTGCTGTCTGCATTCTGGAAGACAAATGTAATCCATCCCCAATGTATCAGCTATGATGAGCCCTCTTCTGGCTATTCTCTTAAGCTTAGGAGTCTGGAGTAGTTTTATTTAGACGCTAGCAGTAGACTTCCTGGGTTTGAATGCTGGTTCTGCCACCCAGTGCTTATGAGGTCTTCACATGTTACTTCCCACGGACTTGATATACTATTTAACATCATTGTCTTTGATTTCTATCCTGGAACTTAAAAACAATGATAGTCCTCCTATCTTGTTATGTGAAGGCTAAAATGAAGCAGTTCTTGTCATGAAGTTACCATAGTATCTGTCAAAAAGTAAAAACTAAATAGAATAGTATAATTGGGTTTCTTAGAAAACTGATGCGTGCATACAGGGCATCTGCACTAAGATATCTTGCAAGAAACCTCATATATCCAAGTCTCACAAATCAGTTCTCATTCTTAAACTCCCCACGCTAATGCAGCACTCCTACCTAATCTTTTCTTTCCAGCCTTTCACACTTATTCAGGCTCTGTGTCCTGTCTCACCTTGGTACCACCACCTGGTTCGGTCCTGATAGTCAAGCCCTATGTATTCACTCACTCATTATAATTTAATTCTCCCTTCATTGAATGACACACTGTCAGCTGCCAGGGGGATCTGGGGACATGGTCATGAAGAAAAATTGGCCTCTCTGTCCCTGGACTTAAGGATTATCAAGGAAGCTAACTTAAAGCAGAGAAATTACAAGATTTCTATCTCCGTTTCTCACCTCAGCAACTCCTCACCTCGATTCCTACACAATTCTCTTCTAGCATCTCTTTCTTCTACTACATTTAATTCACAACACTAACCAATGCAATTATTAGACAGGTGGCAACATTTTTTAACCTAGCATAATAGGAAACAAAGACATAAACTATATTAAGAGAAAATGTGATTATATAAATGAAAAGCTCAAAAGAATCCATGGAAATATTCAACAAACAATAAAAGAATTGAGTAAAATAGTGTTTAAGTGAGGATATAAAAACCAGCAGTATCTAAATACATGCACATATCTTATATCTGAACAGTACAAATAAGTAAATGAAGATGTAGACACTCACAGTAAAACATTGAGAGAGAATATGTAATGGAATAGGTAGAATAGACCCCAGAAAAGAGAAAACAAGAATTTTGGCATAAACTTACTAAGAAATGTCCATTACTTACATAAAACAAATCACAAAAGAAGGTTCAGAAAGAAAACAACAGACTTAGAAGAACATAAACACAGACCATAAGCTGGGAGAGGAAATAGAGATTATAAAATTTTCAATAAATTTATAAATTTAACTTAATTAAATGCCTGTAAGGATTTTTGTCTACGAATCAGCAACTTTCTTAAGAAAGTTCATTAGGGAGCTGCAGAGATAGCACAGCAGTTAAGAACACTAACTGTTCTTGCAGAAGACCCAGGTTCAAATCCCAGCACCCACATGGCATCTCACAACTGTCTGTAACTCCAGTTCCAGGGGATCCAAAAGTCTTTTCTGTCCTCTGTGGGCCCTTGCATGACACAGGTGCACTTCCATACATGCAGGCAATTTATGCATACACATAAAATAAAAATAATAAATGAAATATTTTTAAAAAGAAAATTCATTAATAATTTTAAAAATAGTAAGAATAATCATATGAACCCTGAAAAGGCAAAACCACAGCAAAGACAGGTGGGAAGGAAGGCCACACCACGAATTTCAAAAGCGCCATAAAACACAACCCAAACACTTTGGTATTAACCCAGTGATACTAAGACAAACTAATGGAAGAAGCAGGAAATCCAGAAATAGATGCAATTACATATGGAAATTCAGTACTGCAATATAGGAGGCATTTCACACCACTGGGTAGAAGATGGACTTTTAAATAAATGTTGTTATAACTGGATATCCATATGGAGAAAGATAAAAATGGATCCACATCTTACATCACAAAACAGGATACATTCCCAATGGATCAGATATTTAAATCAAGGGTTAAAAAAGGAACCACACTTGTATTAGAAAAAAGCACTTGTGAATTCCTCTATAATCTGAATGTAAGGAAGTATTCCTTCTAAAAGTACCAGAAAGGAAGGAAAAAGAGGAGAGGAGGAGGAGGAGGAGGAGGAGGAGGAGGAAATAAAACACTTCAAGACATAGGGCTAAGCAATGACTTTCTGAGTAGGACTCCAGGCACTCAGGAAAAAAGGTCAACATTTAACAAATGAAACCTCACAGCAAAAGAAACAGTTAATTGAGTGGAAAAAAAAGCCTGCAGAATGGAATAAAATCTTTACCAGGTACATATCTGACTGAAATTAATAAGTAGACTATACAGAGAACTAAAAAAACTAAACAACAGAAAATAAAACTACCTAATCAATAAATGGGCTAATGAACAGATAGTTTTTCAAAGATGAAATACAAATGGCCAATAAACAAGGGGGGAAAAAAATCTCTCAATTCTTAGCAGAAAAACTTCTTGCAGTTGACGGTGACTAGCAGAGACCCACAACCTACAGAGCACAAGAGACCGTGGAGTGCTCAGCTCTAAATGGGACAACTACATCACACTCGCTCCTTCCAAAGCACAGAGATCCCTGCAGAAGAGGAGGCAGAAAGACTGCAAGAGCCAGAGGAGGT